TGCCTACCTGACTTGTTTTTTGTTTGTTTATTTTTCATTTGACCAGAGAGAGAGAAACAGAAAGCAAGAAAGCAAGGATCCTGCACCTGCCGCTCGGGATCTTGAGCACGCACGCACACGGTCCCGGCGTGAGTTTTAAGCCACCGGGTCCGGGACATGAACTGCGGTCGACTACATGGGAGTCCAGCGACATAGCCATTACGCTAACTGCTGGTTCCCTAGCTAAATAACTAATTTCTATCCTTTATCCCCAAAGTAACCAAAACACCTCGCCTGTACTGCCTACCTGACTTGTTTTTTGTTTGTTTATTTTTCATTTGACCAGAGAGAGAGAAACAGAAAGCAAGAAAGCAAGGCATGAGTTCTGGGACTTGAACCACAGTTGGCCATGTGGGAGTCCAGCACCTTAACCACCATGTCACCTGGGGCCCTCTTAGCTTGTTTTTTAACTCAATAAATATACGGCACATTTGCACACTGATATAGTATTGGAAACAGATTTCCTACTTGAAAAAAAAATTGTTTCATTATCAAGAATATACTGGGTTGCTGGAAAAGTCATGACACATTTTTACATAGAAAAAATACATCATAACTTTCCCAACAACCCAATACTTGGAAATTTCTAGTTCCAGGGGCCAGCAGGTGGCATGGTGATTGAGGTGCTGGACTCCCACATAGCTGATCTTGGTTTGAGTCCCGGATGGTTTGAAACTCATGCTAGGCACATGTGTGTGCATGCCCAAAATCCCAAGAGGAGAATGAAAAACGGACTGTGGATATGGTCATCCCCCCGGGGTGATTTCTCACTTTCTGTCTATCTCTCTCTGACTCTCTGGCAAGTGCACACAATCTAAAGGAAGAAAAAAAAAAAAAAAAACCTTTCCAAAAAAAGAAATTTCTAGTTTCATAGATCACTCATGTCAATAAGAAAATTTTAGACTGCCTTGGCTTTCTGCCTGAGCTCCTTCCAAAGACACTATGCCCATGGTTTCTACCATGTCTTTTTTTAAAAAAAAGAATTATTTATTTAATTTTATTTATTCATTCATTTATTTTAATTTAACCAGAGAGAGACACAGAGAAAGAGAGAGAGTGAGTGAAAAAGCAAGCCACCAGATCCAGGACTCGAACCATAGCTGGCCACATGGGAGTATCCAGCGCGTTAACCACCACACCACCTGCTGGTCCCCGGTTTCTACAATGTCTTAAAAACACTGATGAAATGAAAGATTTCTCACTTTCTGTCTATCTCTCTCTGACTCTCTGGCAAGTGCACACAATCTAAAGGAAGAAAAAAAAAAAAAAAAACCTTTCCAAAAAAAGAAATTTCTAGTTTCATAGATCACTCATGTCAATAAGAAAATTTTAGACTGCCTTGGCTTTCTGCCTGAGCTCCTTCCAAAGACACTATGCCCATGGTTTCTACCATGTCTTTTTTTAAAAAAAAGAATTATTTATTTAATTTTATTTATTCATTCATTTATTTTAATTTAACCAGAGAGAGACACAGAGAAAGAGAGAGAGTGAGTGAAAAAGCAAGCCACCAGATCCAGGACTCGAACCATAGCTGGCCACATGGGAGTATCCAGCGCGTTAACCACCACACCACCTGCTGGTCCCCGGTTTCTACAATGTCTTAAAAACACTGATGAAATGAAACTCTACCATGAATGTATAATTATAATGATACATGATTCCATACCCAAAGGGTGAAAAAGATGTATCCTGCAGGTGGATCAAAGTATGTACAAGAACAAAATTTAACTAGGAAGTACATGGCCAAAACTACGGTTACTCTAAGCCAAATCAAGTTCAAAAGGAAGACCCGCTGCTTAGAGACTACTGACACCAAGGATACCCTTTCACAAAAGTTCCTTTGTTTTGAGGTTTCTGCCACAGGGCACGTGCTTTCACTGAAGAGAGACAGAGAGAGCGAAAATGAAAAATTACCACCCGGGTCGGGGGAAGGCCACACAGCAATCCCTTCACCTCCATTCTCCTCCTGGGATCTTGGCATGCATACACATGCACCCAGAGTGATTTTCAAACCATCTGGTCCAGGACGGAAACGTGATTGATCTTGTGGGAGTCCAGCACGTTAACCTCCATGTCACCTGCTGGCCCCTATTTATTTATTTTTAATTGTCAGAAGGCACATGTGCTCACCAGAGAAACAGCACATACCCACCCAGTGGGGTATGGTCACACTGTAATTCCTTCTCCTTTTCTCCATCCTTTGAGAATCATGGGTATGTGGGTCATCACATACTCAAGTTTGGTGTGTTTTTCAAAGTTACGAGGGCCAGGATGCAAACCATGGTCATATAGGATCCAGTTCTCTTAACCACTACACTACAGGGCATGTGGGCACATACACACATCTAGTGTGTTTTTAAGTCACCAGGGCCAGGCTGCAAACCAAGGTTGATCATACCTGATCCAATTCCCTTAACCACTACACTATGGGGCCAGCCCCACAAAGGTTTATTACAACACTGCAGTTTTGTTATTTGGCCAGTGGAATTACATCACAAATTATGAAAATAATCATGGAATCAGACTTTTGAAGCTCTTAAGTTTCTTTTAGGTTATAAAAATTAATGGAGGGGCTGGCAGGTGGAGCGGTGGATAAAGGTGCTGGATTCCCACATGGCCGACCACGGTTTGAGTCCCCTTAGACAAGTCACTTTACCTCTCTCTTCCTAGTTCCAAGGGTCTAGAGAGGTTTCTATCTATACAAGGAAAATGTCATCTACTGTGTCTCAAAGACCCGTAAGAACAAAATAAACATAAAGTGTGACTGGTTCCGCCTTGTGACTAACTATATTTCATCAAAACGTATTCTAAAATAGAGACCAGTAGATCTGGTAGCTTGCTTTCTCACTCTCCCGCCCCCATGTCTCTCTGGTCAAATTTTTTAAAAAAATAAATAAATAAAATAATATTTTTTAAAGAAAAGTAGTCTAAAAGAGATGACGCTACAAACTGGTAAATTTCAGGGATAGTGGCAGTGGTAAAACATAACACTGCAATGCTGATTCACAGGAGAAGGTTTGAGGTTGGTGGCTGGTGATCGCCCCTCCAGGTACCTGCTTCCACAACCTAGAGCTGGCTGAGGCTGGAAGTAGATCATTGCTTAAGATCTTGTGGAGAGTTCTTTCTCTTTCCTTCTCTCTCTCTCTCTCTCTCACTTGCTCATGGAAAAAAAATGGTAAATTTGAAAGGAAAAAAAAATTCTCCTTAATTCTTCAGTGGAAAAAGAAGATATCCTGCTTTCAAATCCTCCAGTGGATTAGAAATAATTCCCCACTCCTAGGCTGTTCCTCATTCATTTTTACCATCTTCCACATTCCCTACAAAACTACCTTTTCAAGAGCCACCGTCTGACTCACTCCACTGCCTATAATCTTCACTGGCTTCCCTCTGTTCTAGAATAAGTCCTCCTAGGCCCAAGCCCAGCTTCCCACCCTGCCTCTCTCCCTCCCTCCCCTTTTCAGTCATGCCAGTCCACCTGGGACTTCTCAAGAGTTCTGTTCATCCTCACATCACCCAACCTTGACATATGCTGTTTCCTCAGCCTGAAATATTCCTCCATATTCTCTTTTCAGCCTCTCTTGGGATCTCAGGTCAAAAGTCAAATCTCTGGCAAAGCCTTCTTTGAACATTCCCTAGTGGCCATGTTCCAGGAAACTCTTTCACACTACTGTTATTTCTTCATAGTACATGTCACATTTGTATGGATGATTAAAATTCATCTCAATTTGACTGTGAGCTCTAAGAGGACAGAGACCATGCCTGTTGTGAAACCCCAGCTTCAGAAGGCCGTGCATACAGCATGCCTTCACTAAATACACTGGGTAGTTGAATGAATGAGTAAATGAAAAAGCCCTCACTACCCGACCCCCAACTTTATTTCCTGCTTCTCCATAATGCAATCCAACACAAACCCAGACTTTGGACTCCCCGGAAGCGTTTTCCCCTTCATCGTGAAGCCTTCCAATGCTGTGGTTTTTACAGCCAACAAAGTTCTCCCCATCGCTCTCAACCTGTTGAAATCTCACAGGTTTGCCATGACCTAACTCCAGTTTTCTTTCCTCCAGGATATTTTCCCACCGTGCCAGTTCATACATCTTGCCCCTGCTCTACACTTTCAAAACACTTCCTGTTCTCTTTCTTGTAATTACATATTACCTCCTAGTACTTTAATGGGTCTCCTGTGTGACTTTCCTCCCCAACACTGGAGCGAAGCCTCAGGCTGGACTGCTCCCACTTCTTCCAGATCATAGAGTTCACACTGAAAGGTCTAATTTTCCCCCTGAAGAAAATAGAAGCTTCGTCCTGACTCCTGTTTCTCAGGTGATTCAATGTGCCTACGTGCCTCTCCTGACATCCCTTTCGAAGTGGCTGTTTTGCTTTCGTGTTTTGTTGGGGGGAGGGGGCAGGCTACCCTTCTCCTGTTGTAATAAAAAAAAGTAGTCTGAATTCTCTGGATTTCCCGGCAGTGAGGATGCTGCGTCCTCCGTGAGGGTCTCGTTTGCAGTGAAGGGCTTCGAAGCCCTTTAAACTGCCATCCCCCTACTCACACGCAATCCCGTCGACCCAAGTGAAGGCTCTTGCGCTGTGACCTCACACACGACCCCGGATCCTCACCTGGGCCACTCTGTCACCTTTCATCCTCCTCATTCAGGCCGCGTGGATTTGCTAGGAACCCTCACCCAAGAAGAAAGGTCCCAGCCCCGCTGGTCTTTCTCCTTTCTGCCTCTGCTATCGGGTACCCCCTTTCTCTTTCCCTCCTTCCTCTTCCAGAAAGACGGAACGCAGGCCCTTAGACTGCGGAGATCCGGCGGGGGGGAGGCAGATACTGGTCCCCGGGCAGCTCCAGCTCCCACGCCACGGCCTCGGCCCCGCGCTCACCCCCATCCCTCCCGGGCGGCGACCGCAGCGCAAGCTTCGGCCTGGCCGGGACGCCCCATCCCGGATCGCCATCGCTCACTGACCCGGGAAGGTGTCAAACGCGGAAGTGACAAGCAGGCACAGGTGCAGAGGCAGACACCCCAGCAGACGTTAACCGCTCAGCGCTCCATCCCACCGCGACCCAAGCTCCGGCCTCACGGCTTCTTCGACCCCGGCGCCCACGGAGCGAGTCCCATGTTGCCCATTTTCTGAAGAAGGCAGTCTCTACCGCAAAAAGAAGTCCAGATTCCCTCCTGCATCTGAGTCTAGCTAGTCTTGGTATTCTAGTCATAAAGTGGGGTAGCTGGGAGATTGAGGCTTTTGAAAACTGGTGATCCTTACACTACCAACACTATCGTCAGTATCGTCAAAGGTTGCCCTGCTATAGTAAAGAGTATAATTGGAAACAGGGGTGTCCCATGGTTTGCCAAGGCACAGATGTTTGAACATTATCTGAGAATCATGGGAGGCAGAAGTAGCTCTCTTAAGACTCCTCTTAGCTACATCACTTTGATGAGGCCTTTATAGAAGGATGTG